GCAAATACAGTACAGTACTGTGTTAAACGTAAACCAAGAAAAAAATAAACAAAGTTTAAAAAAAAGATTTAACAAGGTAAGGAAACCATTTCTGTGCTTATTTCATTTAAATTAAGATGGTTAAAGACAGCATATTTATTCTACATAGTATAGTTTCAAAGGTGAATTAAGTTAATGTTCAGTTGTAAACTTTTGAAAGAACAACCATACCATTTTGTTCAGAGTTACGAACAACCTGCATTCCCGATTTGTTCATAACTCGGAGGTTCTACTGTATTTCAGGAATAATCCCAATGTGTAACAACATGAGCAGAGCCTGTCCCTGCAAACAGGGTCAAAGGAAACCAGATGAACTTTCCCTTTGGCTCACTAAAAGTTTCCTAGCAGGAAGATTCAGGGGAAGGGCCACTCGTATAAGGTCACAAATGTAAATATTAGCAGAGCTGGGAACGGAACCTGGGAGTCCTGATTCATAGTTGTCTCTCCTGTTCTAGCCCATTAGACCCTACTCCTCATGCAGAGTGCAGAAGAGAACCCAAGAGTCCTGATTCCTAGTCTCCCTGCTCTCACTATTACACCATACTGCCCACACAGCAACAGTGCAATACCCCAAAGATCCCACCCCACAGATAACACCCCCACACATTCCCCAATCTGCAGCCCACCTCTCTGTATCCAGAAATATTCCATACCCTGAGCACTACTTTGAAATCCTGAGACTTCACATCAGCAGCTCTCACTGCCTTATAGCTACAGGTCCCATGGCTGCCTCCCTGAATAATGTCCCCTTATCCCCACCATGAGGGGCCTTCGGAGCTGCAGAGATGGTCAGACACAAACCGCGACTGGGTATTTTTACCTCTTCTCTACATTGGAAAGTGTGTGTGGAATCCACAGAAATGTCTCCCAACTAATCCCTTTGCCTGCTCCCTCCAGACTCTGAAATGACCCATCTCTCTAGGACCCAGCGTTTCCTCCTCCCTGGCCCCCACCAACCTCCCACCACTGAAACCCCAACCATCAACCTGCCTTCTGACTCTACCCAGACCCTCCTCAAATGCAGCACATTTACACTTTGCTGCAGGAGGGCACAGACCCATTTACCCACAGGGAGAGCTCCCAACACCTTCTATCTTGTGTAGAATTTCTGGTGAGACATTAGCTCCAACTTTGTCTTGTAGCTTTTCCCACAGACAGAACAGCTATAGGGTGATTCTCCTGTGTGGGTTCTCTGATGTTTAGTGAGGACTGAGCTCTGACTGAAGTTTTTCCCACATTGGGTGCATTTATAGGGTCTTTCTCCAATGTGGATTCTCTGATGTCTACAGACAGATGAGCTGTGCTTGAAGCTTTCCCCACACGCAGGGCATTTATAGGGTCTCTCTCCCGAATGGACTCTATGATGTACAATTAAATTTGAGCCACGAGAGAAGTTTTTCCCACACTCAGAGCATTTATAGGGTGTCTCTCCTGTATGAACTCTCAGATGTGCAGTGAGCTTTGAACTATGACTGAAGCTTTTCCCACACTCGGGGCATTTATAGGCGCTTTCTCCACTGTGGATTCTCTGATGTTTAGTAAGGTCTGATTTCACCTTGAACATTTTCCCACAGTTGAGGCATTTAAAGGGTTTCTCTCTCTTGTGGATTCTTTGATGTACAATCAGGTTTGATCTCCGACTGAAGTTTTTCCTGCAATCAGCACATTCATACGGTTTCTCTTTAGTGCAGATTCTTGGCTGGATCGTAGTTTCATTCAGGTTATTCAGATCTCCATCTCGGTGAGTGGATTTACACGATCTCTGCTCTTGGTGGTTCCCCTGCTGCCTCTCTGGTCTGGGCTGACTCTCACAGGCATGTCCCTGCTCCGGACTCTGGGAAACTTCCTCTTCACGTCTTCCCAGTAAGGTCCCCTGCAGTTCCACTTGCTCAGGACCTTCCTGCCCAGGGTTCTTCTCCTCATTACACCCACCAACCCATCACCTGCTAAGATAGAGAGAGAATCCAGACATGAGTCCTTCCCTGTGCCAGGGAGAAAGGGAAGCTCAGGAAGGGGAATGGAAAAGGGGTGGAACAAACAGGAATAACTCTTGGGGAGATGAAAAGGACAGGAGCCATGAGTGACGTATGTCATGAGGACACAATACCTGCCGGGGACAATCCTGAACTCAGTGAGGTGAGGCAGAAAGCAAGAAGCTCAGGGCCCTTTGTGGGAATCCCAGCTGTTTATGCCAATCATGGATGGTTTGTGAATCCATTTAACCAACTCCTCACCTGTGCAAGTGTTTTTGAAGAGCTCCCTTTCCACATAGCCCCATGGTTCTTCCCCTTGTTCCAGCTGGGGGATCACCTCAGGTCTGGGAATGGGAAATGCTGCTCCAGGGAAAGAAAAGAGGTGAAACCAGGTGTGACGCTATATGAAATATGGGAGATATTATTGATACCAAATTTATAAAATTGTAAGCAATCTGACCAGATATGCCATGTAAAGTGTCTGTGAAAATGTTATAATTTGTTAAGTATGATAATTTTGTTTATATGTTTGTATCACCTTTGTATTATGAGTTATAGATGTGTAGGGTACATCTGTATTTCAAAACTTGTGCCGTGTTTCTGGGTGACACCCCCAAGACAGATTGGCATCAGCACTGCCTAGCCTGTTCAATGGCCTATCAAGGGTCATCAGCTGTACAATGAACCCACTGAAAGAAGCCAGGGACTACACCTTATGAGCCAGCAAGTCATGTAGGGGCATGCCTATGGAAGAGAACTCTAAGGCTTTTCCATGCCATGTGCTAGGCACTAGCGTAGCTAGCGGGGTGCAGGGGAAAGCAGCCACTTCCAGCTGCTTTTGGAAAAATGGGGGATGGGCGAGGGGGGGCGCAGGCTGGCGGCCCGCAGCGCAGCCCGGCAGCCGGGCCGGAGGGCGGAGCGAGGGGGGACGCAGGCTGGCGGCCCGGCAGCTGTGGCCGGGCTGGAAGAGCGAGGGGGGACGCAGGCTGGCGGCCCGGCAGCCGCAGCCGGGCCGGAGGAGTGAGGGGGGACACAGGCTGGCGGCCTGGCAGCCGCAGCCGGGCCGGAGGAGTGAGGGGGCGCCCAGGCTGGCAGCCCACAGTGCGGCCGGCAGCCATGGGGGGGCGGCGGGCGCGGCCAGAGGAGTGGGGGAGGGGGGTGCAGCATGGCGGCCGGAGGAGCAAGAGGGGGGGCCACGGGGGTGGCACGGCAGGGCCGGAGGAGCCATGGAGGGGGAGGGTCGATGCGGCTGGAGGAGGAGCCAAGGGGGCGTGGCCAGAGGAGGAGCCAAGGGGGGGCGCCTTTTTTATCTTTGGTCCCCCTCCTCTGAAAAGCTGGCTATGCCACTGGTGCTAGGCAGCTTTTGTTTGGGACACAGGAAGTACAAGCCACATGGCAAAAATATATAAAGAGAAGCTGTATCATCTCCATTTTGTCTTCATTCCTGCTTCTTACCTCTGGAGTAACTTTTCTACAAACTGAAGCTCTAAACAAATGACTGAACAACCCATCCAAGCTGTGGATGTGCTCCAGAGGGACTTTCAAGCCAGTAATTCACCAATACTGCTAAGAACCTGAGCACAACAGTGTACCCTTGTTGCCAAGAAGGCTAACGGCATTTTGGGCTGTATAAGTAGGGGCATTGCCAGCAGATTGAGGGACGTGATCGTTCCCCTTTATTCGACATTGGTGAGGCCTCATCTGGAGTACTGTGTCCAGTTTTGGGCCCCACACTACAAGAAGGATGTGGAAAAATTGGAAAGAGTCCAGCGGAGGGCAACAAAAATGATTAGGGGTCTGGAGCGCATGACTTATGAGGAGAGGCTGAGGGAACTGGGATTGTTTAGTCTCCAGAAGAGAAGAATGAGGGGGGATTTGATAGCAGCCTACAACTACCTGAAAGGGGGTTCCAAAGAGGATGGAACTCGGCTGTTCTCAATGGTGGCAGATGACAGAACAAGGAGCAATGGTCTCAAGTTGCAGTGGGGGAGGTCTAGGTTGGATATTAGGAAATGCTATTTCACTAGGAGGGTGGTGAAGCACTGGAACGCGTTACCTAGGGAGGTGGTGGAGTCTCCTTCCTTGGAGGTTTTTAAGGCCCGGCTTGACAAAGCCCTGGCTGGGATGATTTAGTTGGGAATTGGTCCTGCTTTGAGCAGGGGGTTGGACTAGATGACCTCCTGAGGTCCCTTCCAACCCTGATATTCTATGATTCTATGATTTGGACTTTGAAGTCTTATGTGTGTGTCTGATTGCTTGACCATTTAACAATTCCCATCTTGTTCTTTTCTTTTCTTATAAATCTTTAGTGTTAGATACTAAAGGATTGACTGGCAGCATGGTATTTTGGGTAAGATCCAAACTAATATTGATCTGGTAATGTGGCTGGCCCTTTGGGGTCAGAAGAACATTTTGTTTAAATAACTTCTCACTTTACTGGACCTAGGTGGTGATTGGGAGCCAGAGAACTGTAATGCAATAAAGGGGGCTGTGTGATTTCATTTTTTCAGCTTCTTGATAACTAATGTGGGGGATCAGAAGCACAGTTTGTGACTGGTTGGTGAGTCTAATTTCAGTGTTAACCACCAGTTTTGGAAGTATCTGCTCTCCTTTTTTCAGCCTGCCCTGCCCTTGGCATTTTCAGTGAGGGCTTCCCTAGACACCCTGGGTCACGCCAGGGTTTTACAGTTACTCAGAGACACAGATGTTTCCAGGTGTGCTGGGTGGGAGGGTGCCCTTGTATAAAGCCAACAGATGAGGAAATGTTCCTGGATATCCTTTGGAGAGATTGAATGGTTCCTAGGAGATGTGTACATTCAGGGATCTCCACTCTGAGGGATTTTAAGAATCTGGCATAGCTCTTACCACTTTGCAACCCTGCTGAGACCAGAGCCCTTACCAGGCACAGAGCCAGTCCTGGGAAGAGCAGGACACACAAAATCTCCAAATGTGAGAATGAGCCCATGTTTAAAAAGACGAGGAACACACCACCATCGTCTCTCTTGGATGGGGTGGATTAACATCTTCCCCCCATCTCCAAATTGCCTTTTCCCTGGAAGAGGAATAGAGGTGACAGGCTGTCTCTCAAGAGTTCTGGGGACTACTGGGCTGATTCCCCTGAAATCTAGGGGACCAGGAAAGAACCCTGAGTACAAGCTGATTTTGGTTCATCAGAGATCCTCCTGCTTCTAATGCCCGAGGGGACAGGATTTCTTACCCAGCAAGGACACATTCTCATAATTCTCCTGCATCACATCCATGTAGAGGGTTCTCTGACATGGGTCCAGCAGAGCCCACTCCTCCTCCGTGAAATACACAGCCACCTCCTCGAAGGTCACCGGCCCCTGAAATAGCCAGAGTCCCCCACTCAGGACCTGTTCCCCCATCCACAATCCCCCAGCTCAGTCTCAGGCAGTGTGATGGGGGTAAGGTTGCCAACTGTCATATCACAGAAGCCCAAACACCCTTGCCCTGCCCTGCCCCTTCCCTAAGACCCCGCCCCTTTCATGAGGCCCCGATCCGCTCATTCCATCCCCCCTCCCTCCGATACTCACTGTCCTCCACCTTCACTCACTTTCACCGGGCTCAGGCAATGGTTTGGGGTGTGGGAGGCGATGCAAGCTCTGGGGCCGAGGGGTTCAGAGTGTGGGAGGGGGCTCCGGGCTGAGCCTGGGGTAGGTGTGCAGGAGGGGGTCTGGGGTGCAAGCTCGGGGGGGGAGGGGGAGTTGGGTGCTAGACCAGGCTCAGGGCTGGAGGGGACTGGAGTGTGGGATGGGGTGTGGGGTGCAGGCTCTGAGAGGGGGCTCAGGGCTGGGGCAGGGGATTGGGATGTGGGAGGGGGCAGGACCGGCTCTAGGTTTTTTGCTGCCCCAAGCTCAGGTGGGGCTGGGGCTCGCAGGTGGCGCTGGAAGCGGAGAGAGTGATGTCACCTTCTCCCAGTGCCTGCAGGGGCTTTACCCCCTTCCCCGCCCGGCCACGCAGAGAAGCCCCAATATAAGGGGTGGCACAAGGCAGCGCAGTTGCCAGTGCGCAGATGAGGCGGCGCAGCCCCTGCTCCCCAGCAGGACTCACCCTCTCCTCCCCAGGTAACGGCTGGGCCCTGGCAGCTCAGCATCCCAGGGCTGGGGCTTCCCCTTCCCATTGCGGCCGGGGCGCGGCACCCTCGCCCCGTCTAAGTGGTGCAGCTCCGAAAGCACAACTGCCCCGGATAAAAAGGATGGCCGGAATGCCGCCCCTGGAAATGTGCTGCCCCGAGCACGTGCTTGCTTTGCTGGTGCCTAGAGCCGGTCCTGGGAGGGGGTGACAGATGCAGGCTCTATGAAGGAGTTTGGGTGCAGGACAGGGCTCCAGGCAAGGCAGAGGGGTGGAGTACAGGAGAGGGTGCAGGCATTAGGAGGGAGTTTGGGTGCAGGAGGAGGCTCAGGGCTGGGGCAGGGAGTGGGGATGTGGGGGGGGGGTGAGGGCTCCAGCCGGGAGGCGCTTACCTCAGGCGGCTCCCAGGTGGCAGCGCAGTGGGGATAAGGCAGGCACCCTGCCTGCCCTGGCTCTGTGCCACTCCTGGAAGTGGCCGACAAGTCCCTGCAGCACCTGGGGGGCCCAGTGGACTCTGTGCTCTGCCCCTGCCTGCAGGCACTGCCCCCGCAGCTCCCACTGGCTGCAGTTCCCAGCCAATGGGAGCTGCAAAGTCGGCACTCGGGGTGCAGGCAATGCACGGAGACCCCTGCCCCCACTCCCCACCCGCCGCAGAGACATGCTGGCCACTTCCAGGAGCAGTGCAGAGCCAGGGAAGGCAGGGAGCCTGTCTTAGCCCCGCTGCGCTGCCGGACTTTTCGCAGCCTAAAATCTCCCAGTTGGCTTCAGTAGCCTCCAGGAGACTGATTCCAAGAGACTCCTGGCGAAACCAGGAGGGTTTGCAACCCCAGATGGGGGGGTGCTCCCTGCACGGGCCCTGCAAGAGCTGAATTGGGCTAGTTGAGCCCAATCAGCTAATTCGGCTGCCAACAGGGGAGCGTTAAGCTAGAGGCAGCTAATTAGAGAGAGGCTCACTGTGCAGGGACAGGCGGGGCCTATATAAACCAGGAAGCTGGCTACAGACAGGGGCAGCAGGCAGGCAGGCAGGCTGCAGTCACTCCCTGGGAGGAGGGAGCTTGGCTTGGCAAACCCAGAGAAGGGAGAGATTCAGAGAGGGTGGTAAAGCTCAGGGGGAAAGCAGCGAGGTATGGGGTAGACCAGACTTGGGCTGCTGATGAGAGAACCCTTGAGCCAGGACCCAGAGTAGAGGTGGGGCCCGAGTCCTCCTACCAGCCACTGAAGAAGTGGTACTGGCAGGGCAGTGAACAGGGAGACTGCCTGAGCCCCGGATTGTCAAGAGGGACTTTGGTACCCTGGAAGGGGGGGGAACACGTAGGGTGATCAGGCCTGAGTCATGAAGTGGAGACTGCAGTTCCAGCAGTGAGAGGGGCCCGCAGGATGATGGGAGAGACACTGACAGAGGAGAAGCTAATCCCCCGAGCTGCCAGGAGGAGGTGCCACATGCCACGAGTTAACCCCACTACAGGCAGGGCTGGAAAATCTCCCTGCTTACTCTGGGGAAGAAGGGTAAAGAATCAGTGGGGGGAAGAAGTAACCCGGGGGGAGGATTGAGGAGGGGAAATGGGGATGTGGTGGGGACAGTGGGGATGGGAAGTGTTGGGGGGGGGAGATGAGAGGTAGTAGAACAGGGACTGTTTCTAATGAGCCCCAGATTTCATCAGCTCAACCTCTGCAAATATGGGGGGGGGATTTCTGGGGTCAGGTGGGAAGGGGAGGGGGCAGAGTAATGAGCAAATGGAGGGCAAAGGGTAAAGCAACTCAGTGCAGGTCTGGGGCATCTGCAACTCCCATGACCCCCATCTCTGTCTCTGCATCCCTCTTACCCTTCCTACACATCCCCACCCCACACACCACAGTGCAGCCTACAGAGGAATCTCCCTGCCACCCCCCAGCTGCCACCTATACAGACCACAGTCCGGGGGCAGCAGCTTCCCATGCGGCTTACTCCTTGAGAGAGGCAGTTTGAGATTCAAGCCCATCCCCTGACTTTCCAGAGAGCTCATGGCTGCTGTGCAAGGGCAATGGGCCTCTGATATCCGCACATCCAGGGTTTTGTGTCCTCACACAGGGGAATGTCCCCCCCCCCCGGGAATGTAGCTGGATATCAGGCCCCTCATTCACAGAACCCAGCAGAGAGATTTCATTTCCTCTTCTCCTCCCCTTCTACTTGCCCTGTCCCCCCAGGAATTCACTCCAGACCAAACCCACCATCTCCTACCTGAGCTTGTTCCACTTCAGCCATTTCCCTTCCCTGTCCCCTGGGAGAATAGGACAATCTGGAGTGAGACATGGACGTTATTCTTCAGCCTGTCAGGGTGAGAAGGACAAGGGGAGGGAGGTTTTAGAAGGGGCTTTGGTTCATTTCACACCCCAATACCACCATCCCCATCCCCCCCAGCTCTTTCCCTGCAGACAGAGGATTTAGACTCTGCCAGGCTGGGAAAACATTTGCTGGTTCAAGCAGGTAATAAAGTGAGCATCAGCCTTTGAATTTACACCCATAGTTCTGCACCCACAGTTATTTTCCAGCTATTCCTCTCCCCCACTGAGTGTGCAAAAGGAATCCGTGTGCACAGCTGCAGCTCTGTGCCCATGACACTGCCCTAGCGGAGGGCGCATTTGGGGGCTAATTCCCAGGCACATGTCACTGTTTTACCCCTTTCATTGGGTTTGGGGCAGTGCCCCTTTTCTGTGGGAAACCAACTAACCCATCACCCCACTGCAGCCCTGCCCTTCTCTAGGGCTTTCCCTGGAGAGCTCTCAAAGGGCTTCACCTCCCAACCCCTGGGCAGTGGGTCCGGCTCAGGCCCAGCCCAGGGACAGACCCAGAGACCTGCCCAAGGGGGTCAGACAGCAGGGACCCAGCTCCCTGTGCCCCTGACTGGAGCTTTTCCCCAGAGATCTCCCAGCGCTGTGCAGAGGGGCCCAGCCTCCCCTCCTGACCCCAGCATGGTCCCCTGGGTCTCTGCATCCCCTGCACGCTCCAGCTCGGTAGCCGGGGCAGGCAGAGCCCGGGGCTGCCCCAGGAGCCAGTCCCAGTTGGGCTGGGCACAGAGTGGGGTTAATGCAGGTCTCTTTCCAGCACAGACCCCGCTGCAGCCGCTGCTCGGTCCCACTCCCAGCTCCCAGCCAATGGAGGCGGCGGCAGCAGCAGCGTCTTACCTGGGAAGCTCCGACCCCGAGCAGAGCGAGAGGCAGCAAGTGCAGCCTCCGTAGCCCCCTGGTGGCACCAGCTAATGAAACCCGCTGCCCGTGGGCTGGGAACGTGGCATGTGTCTGGATCCGGGGTGTCCTGACAAAACCTGCTACCAGACAGAATGTGCTGCGTGGCTTGTATGTTTGAATCACTAAAAACATTGTCCAGGGAAACATTTGCATTCTATTGATATGATTAAACATGTGTTCTGGCAGTACCTTCTCCAAGGATTACTGGGTCATGGGGGGGAGGGGGGGCAGATTGACATATTTAGAGATATTACTAACACCAGAGAGCTATGTCCCTTATATGCAAACGTTTGAGCTATAATTTTGAGGAAAAAATTAACTGTACAGTTGGTAAAGCAGCTTCTTAAAGAGATGGTTTATGAACTCATATGTGTATTGCGCACAGGGACTGAGCATCTGCTGAAGCCGCTGGCCTCGCTCTTGCCTCACATGGAATTAAAATCTGCTGCCTGCTGTTCACAGAGGGGCAAAGGGAGCACATGGGGGATGGAAGGAATGGGCAGGGTCTGGAAACTGACTGTGGTGGGGCGGGGTGTGTGTGTCAAACAACAGCAGGAGGCCGGGGCAGGGAGGGGGCCCATGGGCAAAATCAGGGATGTGGGCAGCGGGGCCATTTCAGGTGTGTGTGGGGGGGAGAGACTTTAACCATTATTCCATTCCAGGGGCTACTTGAGGACTAATGACCCACCACAGTTTGGCAGAAAGTAGCATGTTTATTACACTGAGAGCTAAGCTCAAAAGAAGGGGGGGGCACACTCACCCTTGCATACTCACACTCCCAGGACAGGCACAGCACTGGAGATGTCAGGATCCTTCAAGGTAAGTGTCCCACAGCACAGCGATGGACGGTGTGATGAAGGTAAGTCTTCCCGAGGCACGATGGAATACAACGCGGCGAACCACTGGCCAGGTGGTCCGGGCGAAGGGCCTTCATAGGAGGTACAAGCTTGTAAGTGCACTCCTGAGCACATGGCCCCTTCCCCTTTTAAGTACCTGCTCCTTATGGTCTGTGACTAGAGATGACTTGGTTGCGTCTGGCTGGTCACACTCCACCTCGGCCAGTGTCCATGCAGCGTCCATGCATTGGGTGTGTGAGTGCTGCCTAATTAGAGTCCCAGACACCTTGTCTACCTGGAAGCTCTTCTGATCTTCCAGCTGTTCAACCAGCCCATTCATCCCACAAGCATTCCAGGAGGGAGGGGGAGGGGGAAAGCCACTTCACCGGTATTCAAAGAGGGAGAGGAGACAAAAGCGGGGGGGAGTGTAACAGACCTTTTGAGCATACAGGTCATACAGATCACTGCTGCTCCTACAACAGTTTTAAGTATAATTTAAACAATATTTGTGGTGGTGGCAGCTCAGGCTTTTTTCTTCACAGCAGGGAAAGATTACAAGTTCTCTGTTCTGCAGCACGGCTCTTGCACCCTGGCTGTGCTTTACTTTCTGCATTTATCTAAGTGTGGACAATGGAAAAAATCAGTTCTACAACTTTTAATTCATTTCACTTTTAACGTCCTAGTGCGCCAATGTTTAGGTTTCAAACACTGCACAGGAATCTTGGTCTAAGAACTATTTTCACTCAGATATGTCGCCTTTTAAAAAAGGTTTTGGAACCTTTAGTAGTCTATGGTTTTATAACTTATATTTTTTTAAAAGCTAAGTTATTGGTGCTGGAACGAGGGGTACTGGGGGTGCAGCACCCCCTGGCCTGAAGTGGTTTCCATCACATACAGGGCCAGCACAGTGGCTGCATGATCTCTAGATTATTCTTGGACATGACATTTTTGGAGATCTTTCTAATTCATCATGAAAGACATTTTCAGGTTATGTTTTGTAACTTGGTCTTTCACCACTAACATAAATGAGCTGATGCTAAACTACAGGGGTTAAAATGAACATTTAAAAGTTTGTCAAGGGCGAAAGTAGCATTAGAAAGAAAGTATGTGCATTAATTAACAAAGGAAGGGGGGTGAAACTAATGATGGCTCAAAAGTAACTGAGGTACCAAACTTTAAAAAAAAATCTCGTAAAAAGTCAACTCACTACATAAATTAAACGATGGATGTTAGCAGCATGGATTTACAAATGTTGGCAGCCAAATCTTACACATTGTTCAGATTGGCTTGGGTTTGTGTGCCCTGAAGGGTTAATACAAATAGTGATGATAAATACAAAGGATTAAGTTGGAAGGATTTGAGAGAGTAAACATCATATCAATGAAATTCACGGATGGTACTCAAGTTTGTGAGACTCTGCCACCCTCAGAAATATTAAAGAGTAAGTAAACAGGAGCTAAGATTACTTACCAGTCGGAAGAGAAGGACATACAGCACAGGAGACACACAGCTATAAAATGGCTGCTTAGGGGCAGCAGTTGCTTGTATCTGCACAAAAGGACCAGTAGTTCCTCAAAAGGTGTTGGGAGATCCTAGAAAAGTGCAACCCTGAGGAGATTTGGTAAGATCAAGGCATTCACAGAGGAATCAGTATTTGTGTGTAACAGCCTATATAGCCCTACCCCAGTGGTCCCCAACCACGAGCCACGGAGGACCGTGGAGGCGGACGAGCATCCACCGAAATGCCGCTGACAAGTGGCAACGTCAATAGGCGTCATCGCCAAAATGCCGCCGAGAAGCAGCGTCATCCAGAGGCATCGCCGCCGAAATTCAGCAGCATTTCGGCGGCGACATCTCTGGATGACACTGTTTCTCGGCGGCATTTTGGCAGATGCTTGTCTGCCGGCCAGTACGCGGGCGCACTTAGACACCCCGGCGGGCGCCATGGCGCCCACGGGCACCGGGTTGGGGACCCCTGCCCTACCTGGTAACCTGACCCAAAGCCCAGTGTAGGTAAAGGAAAAACTCTCAGACAAGTGGAACTAACTGGCAGAATTAATGGCCACACTGGGGTACTGCCAGATTGGAGAATTGGAAAAAATGGGAAAGTTTTAAGCATAATGTAAGTAATATTTGTGGCGTGACGTCATATGTTTTTTGACGGCAGGGCAAGATCCCAGGTGGTCATTCTTCAGCACTGCTCTTGCAGCCTGAAACTTGAGCTAGCTGTGGGGATAATTATTCCCCGAATGTGTGTGGGGCAGCAGCCCCCTCCTCCCCTGCCTGAGCAACCCTTTGTCTACTGGTGCCACAAGGGGCTTGCTCCTGCCTTTGTAACATGTCAGCATGTGAAGGTGAGGGTCAGTCTAGGCAGATCATGATGAAATTTGCAGCAGGCATCTTCTGACCTAAGCGCAGATTGCTGTGGGACAGAGTGACAACCAATTCAAGCTTGTTGGTGGCATTCACGGCGCAGTCGCAGATGGTGGAGCTCCGGTTCTGGGCCCGAGAAACAAGCACCAATTGGGGAGATCATCATCCCACACCTGCAGTGGCTGTAGAACTTCTGGATGCACAAGGCCACATTCCTGGATTTTTGTGCAAAACTCACCCCAGTCCTCCACCGTAGGGACACCAAAATGAGAGCTGCACTGACAGTGGAGAAATGAGTGTCAATCGCACTGTGGAAACTTTAAATGCCCGATTGCAACTGGTCAGTCAGAGTCTCTCAACTAAATACAGGGTGGAACAGATTCGTGGTAAGTAGTTAACACATATCAGAAGAGACCATTCCATGTCAAGTGGCCTGTTACCACCTCCAGTCAAAGGGGCGTTAGTGGATTACACACAGTTGTTTCTTACAACGCTGGGAAAAGGGAGTTGGAGCGAGGACTCGGATCCTTTCGCTCTCCGATTCCACCAGGGTAGTGTGGAAGCCAGGAAAGTTCCCCACAATAGCAGAACCATTCCCCCACTTACACAATTGGTGTCACGAACAAGATCCTATCTGTAGGATTTGCCCCATTGGTTTACTGGTTGAGTTCTGGTAGCACTGTCCAGGTCTGGTCGAGAACCCTACACTGGCTGGAATTGAAGCACTACAGGCCCAGTTTGCAAGGGAGCTGGGCTCTAGGACAAAGAACAGGACAGCAGAGTATGGGGGAAAGGGAGGTTGTCTCTTAGAGTCTTACGGTGATGCAGTTACCGCAGCAAGGAGGCAGAGCATTAGTGAAACCTCCAGGAAACTGGGAGTAGGATCCAGGCATCTCATGGGAAGCGAAGGCCTGCGATGGAGGACATCTGAGAGCCCTACAGCTGCTCTGTGGCCCTGGAAAATGTCACAATTCTGCCCGGGAGTCACTGGATTCCTCACAGAGCTGGGCACAGAGCAGGAAGAGGGGACAGACGCTGGAGATGCTGCCAGGGAGGAGATGGGCTGCTCCCCCTCTGGAAGTGTCTATGTATCCAGCTTCTCAGAAGACACGGAGTCTGAGCCCAGAGACACTCAGAGCCGCAAGAGCAAAGACATGAGGCACCTGAATCAACCCCCCCCTTCTAAAGCCACATGGGCAGAGACATCAGCGAAAGGGCTGGATACAGGGAGTGAGCGATTCCTGCTAAGCGGGAGCAAATAAGGGGGAAACTAACCCAGTCTGGGGCACTCTGCTCAGAGCTGGAGAGCAGAGGAAATTCCAGGGATACGCCGGGAGATGACATAGAGATGCACAACAAACATTTAATCAGGAATTTATTTGGAAAATCAAAAACCCATTGAGGTAAAAACTTCACTGAGTTTTCATTGAGGTTAACCTGAAACCTGAATACCCTGAAACACGAGACCCTCTCCCCTCCCCGACCATCCTGAAACAAGGAGAAACTCCCACCCAGGGCAGTTGTTTCAGGAATAATCTGAGTGTGTAACAGCCTGTGCCTGAGAACAAGGACAAGGGAACCTAGCTAAAACCCTTCCCTTCAGCTCTGTAACACACTCCCCCTGACAGAGACCCGGCAAGGAACAGGAGAATGTCACATAATAATACAACGCATTACAATAATGGTAATAATGCAACTTTCCTCCCATGGTGCCTCTTTCCTCCTGAGCCACTGAATACACAGTAACTAGTGACAATCTCATAGCTCCATGGGGTGGTGAGTGACTGCTAGTATGTGCGTTGTAGGGATGAAACAATAGATGCACAGAGAGGAGGGGACGTGGCTGGTACAAGATCACACCAGGAGACACTAGCAGAGTTGGTTATTGAACCCAGGACTCCCAGTCCTCCCTGCTCTAACCCATTAGACCTCATTCCCCTCTCAGAGCCGGGGTCCTGTGTCCCGATGCCCCCTGCTCTCCCTATTATACCATACTGCCCTCGTAGGAACAGTGCAAAACCCCACCTCGCTGGGGAATCTCCACCATGAATTCCCAAATTTCCCCCACCCTGTCTGCAGAGGATTCCAATAAACGGTGAATTGCTCTGATATCCTGTCACTGCAGATTGGCAGCTCTCTGCTTTATCACTATGGCCCCACAGGGCCCCTCGCTGCTTCCCTAAATAAATCCCCCTGCCACAAGAGGGCTTAGGAGCTACAGAGACAACTCAGACGCAAACTGCAATGCAGCATTTTTACTTTTTCTCTACATTGGAAAGTGTGTGGGGAACCTGCAGAAATGTCTCCCCACTAATCCCATTGCCTGCTCTCCCCAGACCCTGAAATGACCCATCTCCCACCGTACCCAGTGTTCTCTCCTCCTCTGGCCTCCACCAACCACTCCCCACTGAAACCCAAACCATCTGCCCACCTGCTGCCCCTACCCAGACCATCTGCTATTGCAGCATATTTATACTTTGCTTTGGAAGGGCAGAGACCCGTTGCCTCACAGGGAGAGCTCCTGCCACATGCTATCCTGTGTGGAGTTTCTGGTGGGACATTAGAGAGACCTTCACCTTGTAGCTTTTCCCACAGACAGAACATTTATAGGGTGTCTCTCCCGTGTGGGTTCTCTGGTGTGAAATAAGATGCGATTTCCGAGTGAAACTTTTCCCACAGACAGAACATTGAAAGGGTGTTTCCCCGGTATGGATTCGCCGATGTCTAATAAGGCCTGAGCTGTCACAGAAGCTTTTCCCGCATTCAAGGCAGTGATAGGGTCTTTCCCCCGTGTGGATTCTCTGATGTACAAGAAGGATGGAGCTCAGCTTGAAGCTTTTCCCACAGTCGGGGCATTTATAGGGTCTTTCTCCGGTATGGATAATTTGATGTCTATTAAGGTGTGAGCTATAACTGAAGCGTTTCCCACAGTCAGAGCAGCGATAGGGTTCTTCTCCCTTGTGGGCTCTCTGGTGTGAATCAAGGTGTTTAATAAGTTGTGAGCTCCATCTGAAATGTTTCCCACAGTTGGGGCACTTATGGGGTTTTTCTCCCGCATGGATTGTCTGGTGTTTAACAAGGTTTGAGAAGTGAGTGAACCGTTTCCCGCAGTCAGGGCAGCTATAGGGTCTCTCTCCCGTGTGGACTCTCTGATGTACAGTAAGGTTTGATCTCTGATTGAAGCTTTCTCCACAGTCAGAGCAGACATAGGGTGTCTCTCCGGTGTGGATCCTCTGATGTTTAGTCAGGGCTGAGCCATCACTGAAGCTTTTCCCACACTTGGGGCAGTTATAGGGTTTCTCTCCTGTGTGGACTCTCTGATGGACAAGAAGGTTTGAACTCCGATTGAAGCTTCTGTCACACTCAGCACACTGATACAGTTTATCTTTGGGGCAGATTCTCGGCTGCATCAAGTCTTTATTAAGGTCTTTCAAACTGCCCCCCTGGTGAGTGGATTTATCCTGTCTGTTCCCTGGGTGGGTTCCCTGCTGCATGTCTGCCCTGTGCTGACTCTCACAGGCATCTCCTTGCTCAGGACTGTGGGACATGTTCTCTGATAATGCTCTGTGCCGTTGCACTTGCTCAGGACCTTCCTGAGGCAGATTCCCCACTTCGTTCTCACTCCGCGTCCCATCACCTGCTGGGACAGAGAGAGAATCCAGACAGGAGTCACTCCCTGCACTGGGGGAATGAAAACCTCAGAAAGGGTAAAGGAAAATGGGGGGAAAAATCAGAATAACTGCTGGGGAGATTGAAAAATCAGTAGGGGACTCCCCCCAAACTCTGTTTCTCCTCAGGAAAGGAGGGGACCAATTCTGACTCCACATCCCATCTGAACACTGTGGGGGACCGCCAGGTGTCAGTCAGGGTGGGTGGGAAGCCATGTGTAACTTCTGCCATGAGGATATGACACCTGCTGGGCATAATCCGGACCTGGGTGAGTTGACACAGAACTGAACGAGACCGGGGTTTACCATGATTCTGATACAGAGTTGTTTTCCAGATGTGCTGGGTCCAGGTAAATCTAAGGGACCAGAGAAGAACCCTGAGCAGAAATGGACCCAGGACTTCTAATACCCAAGAGGACAGGAATCCTTACCCAATGCGGTCACGTTCTCATAGTTCTCCTGCATGACGTCCCTGTAGAGAGCTCTCTGATGGGGGTCCAGCACAGCCCACTTCTCCTCCGTGAAATACACAGCCAGCTCCTCAAAGGTTACCGACCCCTGAAACAGCCAGAGTCCCCCACTCAGAACTTGCTGCCCCCGTCACAGTCCCACCAGTTCAGTCACAGGCAGGGCTGAAAAATCCCCCTTCCCAGAGACGAAAGTGAAGTTTCTCAAAGCTTTCATTAAAAACACACAGTTTCTGTGTGGAAAATGTGATGCCCAGATGCCAACTCTGGTAATTTTAGCATGAGTCTCATGATATTTAGCTGGGATTTTTAGAAGTTTCTCACAAAGATCTCACAGTTAGTGGCACAGAACTCGCACATTTTCCCCTTGCTCCACATGGCTGTCATCTTTCCATGACTTTCAGGGGGGCTGGACTCGCACTGCCCTTATTCAAAATGGCACTATTTCCCTGAAATTTTGGCATGTGGAAGTGAGGCTGCCCCTAGTAAAGATGGCCATCAGCTCCCATTGTTTTCAATGAGACTGAAGCCCTGCTCCTCAAGGAATATGGCTGCAGCTCTGGGGTTAGGAGAGTGGATGGGAAACTATGAAGATACACGGAAATATGGGGAGCTATAGGGAGGCTGAAAAGGCACAGGGGGATGGGTGGGAGCTGGAGAGAGGCTGATGAGGTGCCGGGGATTTGGGCATGCAGGGGCATGCGAGATACCAGCTGTGAGAGGTAGCAGACTGGACAGGGAGAGACAGGGGAATAAGAGGACAGGTGGGGAGAGGAGACTCTGGGGAGCCGTGGGGGGTGGGCAGAAGACTGGCTGGGGAAGAGAGGAAACAAAATAGTGGTAAGGGAGGTGGGTGGAGCAGGAATGAAGGACACCTCTCCCGTCCCAGTGGTAGGGGAGAGTCACTGGGCGAGGCAGCATTTTTCCATGTGCACTGTTGCAGGTGGAGTTTTGTCACTGTGATGTGATATGTGTGCATGCACATGTGCGCACACACACACACACTCACCTTACACATACATGCTGGGGCCAGGCAGCTCTCCCCCTCCCCCACCACGTCTCAAAAACCAGAAGGTAAATAACAAAAGATTTATTTTTTTTAAAAAAACTTGTGATTTGCCAATGAACTGGAGAGGCAAACAGGGACATTTTGAAGACAGTTTAGAGAGGAAGCGTGAGAGGCTTTCTTCCCACATACAGTTCTACATTCATTATTGTGATTGCCAGCAATGGCACAGTGGTTTGGGTGTGCCATGTTTTCTGTCCTGGTGGAAGCTAGAAGGGACTTCCTCTGGATGAAGTGCTAGTTGGTGGCTATGCTGGAAGAAAGATTAGTGGTTCGGCAGGACAAGTACAGACACTACAGAGCATCGAATCATTGACTTTAAGGTCAGAAGGGAGGGAGAGGAATTATTTCAGCTCAGT